ATATATCACAATCACCCTAGACTTATAAAGGGACAAAACGAAAGTATTATATTTAAATTATATTCATGCTATTATGCATATAAAATGCCATTTGTCATGGTGAATTTATTTCTAACCTGAATTTTAGGCAGAACCAGACATAATGCATGGTTGTCCTATATATTTTTTTGGCTTTCATTCTTAGATAACTTGAACAATTTCATAGATGAAGTGTTACAAGGCTGTAAGATGATTTAGTTGTTTGAATCTCAGTCTAACTGGTACTTTATGTAATCTCTGATTTTTTTTTTTGCCATACTAGAATGCTCTTCTCTTTTATGACCTCTTTCATTTGTCATCTTATAAAAGCAAAGCCATTATTTCCTCTTCTATACAAGTGCATTCAGGATATCAAAATTTGCTTTTTGTTGTCAATTGCTTTCAAGCTTGGTTAGAGATGTCACATTTGTGTGTGTGTGAATGGATGCCGGTGTGATTATTTTTGTAGCTCATATGTTTTTTTCCACATTGACAGACATCACTGGAATGGAATCATCCTATGGTTTTATTTTAAGGATTAGATAGTTTTAGGAGAAAAGTATGACTTTTCTAACTATATCACTGGCTGTTGCCTGAGACAATCTGATTTTCTTCCACTTTTTTCCTATATCTTGCATACCTGTTATGTATTACAAATAAACTGAAACAAAGAGCTTGAAGCCATTTGCTCTTATGTGTTAATATACATTATTAGTTCAGATATAATTATTATTGATTTTTCTGGACTAAATCTGGCACTTCGAAGAAAATGTGCATATTAACTTAGGAAAAAAATCTAAATAGTGATATACATGTATATTTGCCCAGAAAAAGTTCTGCATGTATTTTTGTAAAACTTTGGGAGCATCTATCTGTTGTAGTTGTAGTTAACCTCTTTTCTGATTACTTAGAGATGAAAAAAAATCTTTTGATCTATAAAAAAACAAATGTAATTTCTTATTCTTGAGTTTTTCAGTTATTGAATATTATTTATTTTGTGCCTTCAAGGAGTATGTGTTGCTAAGGATTTTTTTGGGGGGGTACCGGGGATCGAACTTGGGCCCATGTGCAAGGCAGGTGACAAAACCACTGAACTAATCCCTGGCCCCAATAAGGAATTATTTTTATCTCAGTAATTTTCTTTTAATATTCTTTATTCTAACAGTGTATAATATTCATGGTTGTAATCTAGATTTTGGAATTTAAGAATTTGGCACCTCTTAATCCTTGTTACTAGAAATATTCTGCTATTTTCAAAGTTCCATAAGACCCTCCAAACAACCCACATTTCAATTGTTGGCTTTAGATGTACTAATTTGCATATGAGCCTTTTACGGTTATTTTCAGGTCTTTTTCTAACACTCATGACAGGATGCTAATGTGTGGAACACTCTCCTATGCATAGTTCAGAGACGTGTGTAGTGTATCAACGACAAGCTACGATTTCACATGCTTCCTAGTGCAATATATGTAAACTTACACTGTTACGGGACTGATCTTTAATTTACTCTGATTTATTTTTTGAAAAGTAAATTATTAACAGATTGTACTAATCATTATTTTACTTGCTCACAAAACTCTTACTAGTAATATGTGTGACGAGACCATTATTGAATTGTCGAAGAATCATTACTCTACATTCTTTTTCTTTTTTAAATACATTGCCTAGTTGAATGCCATATATTGTTTATAACACTTTCTTATCCTTGTAGTGTCCATAGCATATATCCCTTCTCAATCATACTGCAGAAAATCGGTGTAATCTCTCTTTTTTTAATGAGTCTGGATGGGCAGAAAATTTACTTTAGTGAACTTTTCAAAGAAATGGCGTTTGATTTTTTTATTTGTCTGTTCTCTTTTACTGATTTTTACTCTTATTTCCTTTTTTCTGCTTATGCTGTTTATTTTTTTTCTGTTTATTAAGGTTGAAACTTAACTTCTTAGGTCTTTCTTAATTTCTAATATGAATGCTGTAATGCTATAAATTTCCCCTTAGCCACTGCTTTATCCTCTTCTCACAAATTTTGATGTTGTATTTTCACTATCATTTAGTTCAAAGTAATTTTTAATTTTCCTTATGAGAAAATTAGATCCACAGACTATTTAGGAAATAGTATTTCTTTATCAATTATTTAGAGATTTTCAGATCTCTGTTGATATGTTCAGTTAATTTTCTTGTGGTTATGGCGATGCATGCACCTAATCCCAGCACTCCAGAGGCTAAGGCAGGAAGATTTCCACAAGTTCAAGGTAAGCCTGGACTACATAGTGAGTTCAAGGCCAGCCTGAGCTACACAGCAAGAACTTGTCTCAAAAAAAATTTTTTTTCTCTGTGGTAGACACACACACACACATACACACACAATTTACATGACTGTAATTCTAAATGTACTGAGTCTAGCTTTATATCATACAGTATAGGCCATCTTAGTGAATGTTCTATGTGTATTTTTTTAAAAAAAGATACACCACTGTTGCTAGGTGGAGTATTTTATAAATAATGATTAGGTTAAACCAGTCAGTGGGCTATTTCAAGTATCTCTATACTTACCAGTCTTCTGTCCTATCAATTACAGATAGAAAAATATTGAAATCTTTGAGTACAATTGTGGATTTATCAATTTCTTCTTTCAAACCTATTTTTTTGCATCCTCCTATTTTGAAACTCTGTTCCTAGATATATAAACATGCTAATTAACTTTATTATAAAATGTACTTCTTTATTACTATAATATTCTTTATTTTAAACTCTACTTTGATATCAATATCACCACTCTACATGAAGATCAGATATATGAGGTATAATTTAAAAGTTAAACAATTTAGAGTTTTGGTTGTCAGGGCTGGGGATTTAGCTCAGTGGTTCTATCTTGCAAGTGCAAGGACCTGAGTTCAATCCCTGGTACCAAGAAAAAACAAAAACAAAAACAAAAAAACACAAAGATTATAGAGTTTTGGGTGTTAGGCATTCTGTCTCAATGACAAGAGTAACCGAGTTGATGTTGTTCATTTGTTTCTTGTTAACGCTAAGCACTATTCCTTTGTGTAGATACATCTCATTTTAAAAATCCACTTGCCAGTAGTATAAGGTTTAGTAGCTTCTAGTCTGTGAACAAAACTGTTAACAAAATTTGACCAAAAGTTTTTGAATGGAAATGTGATTTTATTTCCCTTGGTAACTACCGACTGTTATATTGTTTGGTCATATGGTAATAGTACCTGACAGTGGTGGTCTTGGATTGTCTATCTTTAATCAGGCTTCTAATTAGTGCTAGAATCAGTCTCAACAGTTATGAAATCATGACTGCATACCGAACACTATCAGCTTGAAAGAAAGGACCACACAACAAAACCTTGCTGTGTATAAGTAGACATATACGGCCTTGAAGCTGAACAGGAGTCTCCTGTAGACAGGAAAAAGGTTAGGGAAATTCACAAGTGATCTGGTTTTGATACCACTGTGAGGATTTTTAAAAATAGGTTAATTCAATGAAATTATTCACCAACTCCAAATTCCTGTTTAGAAATGTACACATACAATGTAAATAATCCACAGTCGAGAATCAGCTGACCTAAGATGTTTAAATGCTTTAACTGGCAGAAATTACTTTGTTAAGGATGCAAATGATGGCTGTCATGTACTTAGGGACTCGATAATGGTTTTGTTAATCACTCATCCCTGCTTCGGACCGCAGTATCCATTTAAGAGTAAAGTGGCTAGAATTACTGCCCACGGGCTCCCATTTGTAACCGAGACAAGTCTAGCAGAGGGCACGCAGGTAACGGTAGCGGCTGGCCCGCAGAATCTGACATTTCAAATCGCCAGCCCATCTAGGCCTGGCGGCCTTTGACAGGCGGGCGTGTCCGAGACGAGAGTGGGGGTTGACGGGGCTGGGCCCTCCCAGCAGCGCGCGACGCCGTCCTTGCCTTGGCCTTCACTGAGCCGAGCGGCCCGCGATCG